GATGGATGGATGGATGGATGGATGGATGGATGGATGGATGGATGGATTGTTGGAAGGGAAAGGGTGGCAGGAAAGGGGGGAGGAACAGAGTAAGTTTGTGCTTTGGAGCAGGTGAGACTCCTAGTAGCCTTGGTTTGTTTTCCCCTCCAGGAGAAAGTAGAGCCAGAGTGAGCTTTGCTCTGGGGAAAAAAGAAAAAAAGAAAAAGAAAAGAAAAAAAAACTGCAAAAGGGAGTAGAGAGTTTGATCCTGCTTCTCTTGCTGTCAGCGTGGGTGCTGACATTAGCGTCTAAGAGAGAAGTACCCACCATTAGGTAGATGATGACATGGTTACAGCATAACAAGGTCATGATGTTCAGTGGATCTGGATTCCTGGAAATAATTGTCTTCAAGTGGTCTTAACAAAGCTTGTATTAACGTAATTGGAAACATCTGATTACTTTTTCCTCTTCAAAAATATTACAGAGTTTGGGGATAGTTAATGGGTGAATATAGGAAAATAACCTCTGTGCATCCTGACATTTTGCACTGTGATTTTGAGAAAGAAGAGATAGTGAAGTATGTTGAAAGGAAGCAACATCCGAGCAACCTCTGCCCCTCCAAATTGCTGGTGAGATGCCGGGGAATCTCATGCTGCTTTTGGTTGGCACAGCCTGAGGTGAATTCCCTTTCCAGTACTGTAGACAGCAGCTTTATGTGGGTTAGTTTAAAAATAATTGATCTGGAAATGCTGAATGCGTTGACAAATTCTCCACTTATCACTAATTTGGTGAGCTGAATTTCCGCTGACAGCAAATGGAGCAGGAAGGCCCTGTGCAATAGGCAAACGTAATTGCATACTGCTGAGGCCAAGCTCCACTGGCACAGTTGTCCTTCAACCCCAATGTACAGATGGGCAGTGGTGTCCAAGGGTCTGCTTGATTAAGGTGGGCAAGAATCATTGCAGCTACTGCATTTTAGCTTTGCCTATTCATAGTTCATTGGGGGAAAAGGATTTTGGGGCTGGTAGGGATTGCTTTTCTTTGTTTCCTTTGTCTGTTCGCTTACCTCTAGTATTCCTTGTGTATTTTTAGAAGCGAAGTCCTGTGAAGATATTCAGTGCAGTGCTGGGAAGAAATGCTTGTGGGATTTTAAGGTTGGCAGAGGTCGATGTGCCCTCTGTGATGAGCTCTGCCCTGAAAGCAAGTCAGACGAGGCAGTCTGTGCCAGTGATAACACGACTTATCCGAGCGAGTGTGCCATGAAAGAAGCAGCCTGCTCCATGGGCATGCTTCTAGAAGTAAAGCACTCTGGATCTTGCAACTGTAAGTGAGATTTTTATCTCTGCAGACACCTAAGGCTTCTGAAGGCAATCCCTATTTAATAAAGACTTACATCGTTAAACCTAAGAAAGCTTGATTTAGAGATTCAAGATATGGCACATGTGCCATGTGAGTATGGGTGTATCATGCGTGCACTTTGGTTACTGATAAAAAACAGTAGATCTCCAACAACCAGTGTGCATTCAAGTTGGGGTGTTGGGTCTTTACTGAGGACAAGTCATTTTATCAGAAAGGGGTTGCCCTAGGAGCATAATTCTAGAGACTTTTTCCTAATTTGTCTGCTCTCATGTGCTTTGCTGATTGCTTTATTAACACTTGGTAAACTGTTAACTGCCCAAAAGAATGAGCCTGATAGCACATGGGCACCTGGTTTAGCACAGTTGCATCTACTAACTCTGAATGAAGGACAAAAAGTAGTTAAACCTAGAACACAAGAGCGCTTTTTATTTGATTACAGGAATCTGCCAATAAAACCTGAGCCATTGATTCTTCAGAACTTTCTGCAGTTATGACTTCATAGATTATGTATAAAAACCCTTATTGCATAACAGCAGATGCCAAAGAGCATCTCACTACAAGTCGCATAAAATGCAACGCTGTATTATGGCTGTTCAGAGGGCTTTGAAAACATGCACTGAGCTGCTTCTGCGCTGTTGTTGTCCTTATTTAAACAACAGCTCCCCTGTATTCCCCCATCTAGCCATTAATGAAGACCCAGAGGAAGAAGAGGAAGATGAAGACCAGGACTACAGCTTTCCTATATCTTCCATTCTAGAGTGGTAAAACTTCCATCACTATTGGGACAGCCAGTGGGCATGAAATCAATGTCCATACTGTAAATAAGTGTATGCTTATTTATTTTGGGGAGGAGAAAAAAAAAAAAAGTATACATATAGTTGAGTCTCGTAGACATTTATTTATACTGTGTCATGTTTTATAATTTATACATAAAATGTCTGGTTGACTGTACACCTTGTTTTTTGAAGAAGTTTATTCGTTACGGGAAGAGCAGTGTTATTTATTGTGAGGTCTCTTGCTTGTAAAGTAAAGCTTTTCTTTTTTCTTGTGAACTATGAAAGTCCATTCCTTAAAACTTACCTAAAAAGATGGTTTCATCTTTTTGTTTTATTGGGGTTATCTTTTTTCCACTTTAAAAAACTTTGCATGTTGGTTTCTGTTATGTTTATTTATTGGATTTTCTTCTTGCCGGTTCTGTACATAAAAGATCCCTCGGGTTTTTGTTTACAAGGAATCTTGACTGACCAAAAGGCATTGTAACTGACTTAAATATACTTCCAGGGTGCAGTGAGGCGATCTTTAAGGAAACTTCTCCCACTTCACTTTTCTCTGCTTCTGATCACATCATGTCCTGATGCGATCTCAATGTGTTCAGCATATATACTGTACTATAAGAATTCCAGACCCAAAGAAATCGGATTATGAAGGTTGTTAATAGCTACAGAGCTCACTGTAATAAGAATAAGGGTTTTATTTTATTTTTATTCTTCTCTTTTGTAACATGCGTGTTTATCAGGTGTTTCCTTTAAGATGGTCTTGCAGTACAACCTTCAAAGTTTTGTTTTGCCAATCAGCGTGTCACTAAAAGTTATATCAAAGCTTTATCAGTTCAAGTTTCTTGCTTTTCATAATAGTTTTTTTTTTTTTTCTGATGCAATTTTATATTTTCAAACATGGCGAGTTAAATATAAATTCATTTAAATATATAGTTTTGTACTTTTCTACCATGTAAATGTGCAATGTATATAAAAGTTATAATGTGTATTTGTAAATAAATGATGAGTGAAAAAATAAAAAAAATGGAATTTTCCCTAGATGCAGTCTTCAGCTTTATCTTCTAAAAGGTTCTGGTGCAAAGAAGATCTACTAGTAGTGGGGGAATGGAAGCTGGTGCCTAATGTAGCACTAAAATGCATTCACTAAGGCAATCTAAGTAAGCCTTCTAGTTACTTAGATTCATGAAACCCCATTTTTCATACAGAAGCAACATCTCATGTCTGTTGATACTACTTCATTTTTAATCTGTAAGTACTCTGATGGATAGGAAGACGTTCAGCATTTTTGTTTCCCTCCCCATCGAGAATAAAGTATCTGTTGCTTCTTGGACATCTTTAATTTGTGCATTTCTAAGAGATTTTGAACAGACACTTGAAATTTTGCTAAGATTCAGATCCATGTTAGGGGGTTTCAAGTTGCAGAATCATTTTAGATAACTAATAGAAAGGGCAAATGATGGCCTAGTTGCCCAAATTCAAGATGTGTAACAATTCCCACAGTAGACAAAAAAAAAAAAAAAAAAAAAAAAGGTGTATCAAAGAGTACATATAACTTGGAGATTCATCACTCTTGAGAGGAAAGTCAATTCAGAAATTCTGTTTAGTGAACCAATATTCAGATTGGAGGCACTGTTAAAAGTGGATACGGCTGCAGTGAACTCAGAGGAAAGGTAGAACAGCAGGGATCAAAATGTTTTTGTATGTTCCCAGGGTTAGAGTTTTCTCTCAAACAAGGCTCCACTTGTCAAAATTTCTCTTATCATGCTGCACAGAACTTAAGAAGGTACTTAAGCACCTTAGTAAGTAGCACTTCACTGAGTTGAGGTTTGAAGCAGAGATTCACTTACTCGTTTTGTTTGAATATAAATCATGTTCCTGCTATAGTCTTCTGTGTATTTTTTACTACACAGTAAACTGTAATTTGTTATGGGTTGTTTAGCATTACCTAAAGCAAATATAATTTATTCATCTGTAAAGACTACAGACATGCATTCATAATATTATATTCAAAATGATAGCAAAATTCTGCCCTTCCTCTTCCTGTTGCTTCGTTTAGACAAGTAGTCTCTTTGGAAGGAAGAGCATGATGAGAGGAGCAAAGTGAGCAGGATTTTAGTCTCCTGAGGGCAATGGAACCCAGAATAAAAGAAACGAAGGCTGGGAGAACAGAGGGATAAAAACAGACCCTATCTGAAAATCTCTTGGGGAACTAATGAACTCATGACAATGAAATAGAGATGAAATGCTTAATAGATGTGGTGAGTATGAGAAGAGATTTTTCTCAAATTCAAACAGGTGCCAGCTACTTCATTTCCAAAAAAATGGCAGCATTAAAACACTGCTTATAATTGTAAATAAATTTACATGTCTTAAAGAAAGACTGCAGCAGAGCAGGATTTCTGGGTTGCAACTTTATGCCTTGCTTCACAAAATAACTGGGAGAAAGTCATTGATAGAAGAATTCAAAAAGGCATCAAGAATGCTATGAAGCTATATTTGCACACCTGTATGTGTATTAAGCAGACATAAAAAATCTGTGTAAGAATTATGCTTATAAAGTTGTCTGAGAGTTCTGCTACAGCATTTTCCGTTGCTGCTGCTGTTTTTATACAGCTGAAATCTCAGTACCTACTGGCAGCAAACCTGAATGCACTGTACTGGTGAGGTCCCTCTTGAGAGGCTTCACCAGGCAAGCATCTTTGAAGCGCGCCTAAAAGGCACCAACTTCAGCATAGCAGCCCAGAGACTTCTGCTAGAAACATATCCAGGGGTTATGGCAGCACAACTTCCAGTGCTTTGCCTAACATCATTCTTGGAGTTAAGGTGCTTGCTGATGAAGAGGGAGATGCAGATTCATTGCCTATCTTCCTGAGGAGAGCGTTCCCACATTCACCATCAGCTCAGGGAGAAGCTCAGAGAGCTGTCTGTCATGCCTCCTGAAGCCATACTTCTCTATCGGAAAGGAAGCAAGATTCATTGAGAGAGGATAATTTGCAACCCTAATGGGTGCTCCTTTTGAAGAGGAAGTCTTGGGTTCTCGCCCCAGGGATTGCCTACACATTTTGCATTTGTAATTGAGTAACCTACACAAATAATGCTTGAAGCAGAGGCCAGAATCCAGGTTACCTCCCCTTTTCCTTCCCCCAGTATGTAAGTGCCTCCATCCTTGAGCTATGAAATCATGCTTAACCCTCTGCTTAAATCAAGATTACAAATCTCACATCTCTTTCTACACACTGAGTCATGGCTACAACAGGAGAGTCTTTACTTTTGTCTTCCTTCTATTCCAGAACTGTATGTAGGGAACTTCCTGAGTGTGGAAATCTGATCTTGATTCTCTCAGTCCTAGTAAGGTGATGAATCTTTGTTGCCAGTTCTTGTCTTTTTTTTTTTTCCTTTTTTTTTTTTTTTAAACGGATGCATGAATTTGATTTCTTGCTCTGAAGCCGTCTTGCAGAAGCTTCTAAATCCAGAAGAGTGTTCCAGAATGTTCAGAAATATCCTTCTCTTCAGTGTTTTCTGTCAGCTGACATATGCATTCTCCTTACTGTAAATCACATTTCTGAAAACCCTCATTCTCCACGGCATGTACTTGAATACTGAATACCAGGCCTGTGAGCCCCATTTATAAACGCAGGCACTTAAACGTCAGGCCCAGTAACATGAAGTAGAGCTTGCATGTTTGAAAACAGAAACCCATACTCTGGTACTTAAATAAAATCAGCCCAATTCCAAGAGACTCAGCTTGAGGCATTTGAATGATAAGAATATTGCTTCTAAAGTCTTGGATCCCAAATGTATTTGTCCATGCAATACATACAAGTGAGCACTGACAATTTTGATCACACTCAAAAGCATTCCTGATACCTAAGTCCACATGATAGACTTAAGAGCAATATAATGAAACTCTTTTGCACCTTTTACCTCTCTCCTTGCTTTCTGCCTTCTAATGCACCTCACTAAAACTACATTCCAAGCCCCACAGCAAATTTCAAACAGCTGCCTTTTTTTTCTTTTTCTTTTCTTTCTTTCTTTTTTTTTTTTTTTTATGACATAAAAATGTTTCCTTCTTTCCCTCCAAATGGGAATCAGGTGAAATTAAATTTCAGTACACCATTCTGTTCTCTAGGCAGTGACATTTTACTATACAATGAATCACCAGCACAGAAACATCTGTATATTATCCCTTTGAAGAATGAGGATTCCATGCTTTCTGGTGAAGCAGAGCATTTGCACATAGACCAAGAGGTTCACAAAGTATCAGATTTTAAATTCATAAGTCCCTAAAGATAAGGCAGTTACATTTTTTTTGTTTGATATTACGATTTCAAGGCATGTCAGAACTCAATATGGCACCAGGAGTCTGGGAAGTATATGAAAACTTGTTAACTCACAATTTAACATTTTAGAGTTATTTGCTTTTCTGATAGACTTAAATAAATAATGGCCATTAATGGATGGCTTTTGCTGATGTTTATTTGGGATTATCTGTATAATTTGGCTTCATTACCACTAAGTAATGTAGCCAATGAAATTACCCATAGAGAGGAGAAATATGGTGTGAAAGCAAGGTAAGAACCATCACGTTCAGAGACTGATTTGGAATTAAAACTACACGTATGGCTCATTTTCTGCTCATTTATTGATACTTTATTTTGATGTCTTAAACTTAAATGAATTTATTCAACTTTGTCATGGGATTGAAGAGCACTGATGAATCAGAAAACTGAGAAGGATCTTCACACTTTGATAACTACTCGTCAGGTTTTCTAGATGCAGTTACTGGATAATGAGTTTATCAAGGTGGTTCAGTGTAGATCTGAATGTATAAAGGCCCCTGAATTTCCACCTGCGCCAAACAGTAACAGCATGAGAGCCCTGCAGTGCTTGCAGAGAAGTTGATGGATACTCAGAACTCCCCAGAATTGAAATCATTGTGTTCACATTCAAGAACTAAATTCTACTCACCTGGATCTAAAGATTGCTTTATTTTGAAATTAATCTTGGAACACTTCTTTATGACATGCTAGTGGTTCACAACAAATGCAGCTTATTTTTCTTTTTTTAAAATCAATATCCTTGGCAGCATGCTTTTATGAAAAAAAATACCACTTTTCATAAGTTTCAATATATTTCCTAATCATTTAGCAGTTTGGAATGGTGCCATTCTAGTAACACAGTTCCTATGAATCTTCTTCTGTATATCATGTTTTTTACTCTTACTTTAAGTTTCAAGCACTTCTAATTTTAAGAGACACCTAAAGTACAAGGATGATGTTGATCTATGCCCTTTGTTAGAAATTCATATATGATACAAGTATGTACTACTATTTGATTTTTGATTTAGAGGCATTTCTATGAAATCATAGGGCAATTCATATAAATGAAGCACATAGTTATACAAGTCCTTAAACAGCATAGAAAAAAGTAACACATGACAAGAGAAACCAGCAGAGGCCCACCAGACTGTTCAGACTACTGACTTAACCATACAGTCTGAATAGGACTGCTTCTTCCCAGAGAGGGGAAGATTTGGGAGCAACATTCTGTCTATAAGAAGGTCATTGAGAAGGTAGAGCCAAGATGGAGCAGTGAATGGTGGCAGGACAAGAGACAGCTGGCATGAGATGAAACAAGAGAAGATCGCACAGCTATAAAGGAAGCTTCTTTCCCTATGAGTAGAATCAAGCAGATGACCTCCTGACATTCCTTCCAACCTGAATTATCCTATGATCCTGTGTAGAGTTAAGTTCATTTATTTTTAAGAATTACAGGCTCCAAAACCAGGATGGAATGTCCAGTTTAGAGAAAAAAAACAACACAATTCCTTGAGGAAATATCCATGGAACCATATCACCACATCTGTTGGAAGCAATTGTCAGGAGGAACATAGGCTATTCCTTCTTTAATATGTTTTTCCTTTACACGATCCTTAAGTGATCCTAAAATTCCTCATAAATGCTATTTTCCCATTGATTTTACTGAAACTTTTTGCTGTGCAATGAAGGCTATACCTATTCAGTAAAATATTATTCATTTT